GTCCTTTTCAAGCCTTTTATAACAACAATCAATCTATTTTGTGTCATAATTAAATGCGCAAAACACACTTATTGCAAAGTTTCCCGGCAACGGAACCATTTTTTTTTTGGCAAAACAAGGGGCTTTTTCAAACCATTGAGAGGTTTACGCCAAGGAGATCCCTTGTCACCATACCTATTTGTTATGGCACAAGAACTCCATTCTAGAATGATCAACCGAGCTTTTGCAACCAAATCAAGTTCAGCCTTTTCATGCTGGAGGTATTTTGGTTGGTCATTTATTTTGTGCCGATGACTTACTTATTTTCGCCAATGGGAGGAAAAATTCAGTCACCAAGCTGCTAGATATTTTAAAAACATATGAAATGATGTCGGGTCAATCAGTAAGTCCTATAAAGTCATCTATGTTCTTTTCCAAACACATCTCTTCCAATCGTAAAAGAACTCTATTGGCTGCTTCGGGTTTTAAAGAAGGTGCTCTTCCCTGTACCTACTTGGGAGTCCCACTTTTCACTGGAAGATTAGTGAAGAATTTGTTTGAGCCATTGTTAGAAAAAGTTCAGAAAAAATTGGCTGGTTGGAAGGGTCGTTTACTCTCTTTTGGGGGTAAGATCACATTGATCAAACATGTACTTTGCAGTATGCCAATTCATATCCTCTCGGTTCTGAACCTGCCTAAAGGTACTCACATTGAGCTGAACCGTATTTTTTCTTCTTTTCTCTGGAATGCGACTGATGGATCAAAAAAAAGAAAATTGGTTTCTTGGAGAAAAATGTGTTTCCCAATGGAGGAAGGGGGTTTAGGCATTCGGGATTTTGGAGAAGTACAACGAGCATTATTTATGAGATTTGCGTGGAAGTTGATGGTGGGTAATTCCTTTTGGGCAGAATGTTTTCGTGCTAAATATGTGAAAAACAAACCAGTTGCATTGCTGAAAGTCTCTCCCACGCATTCTTGATTTTGGAAGGGAGTGATCTCGGCATTGCAGATTGTGTTGCAGAACTCTTTTTGCTGGGTGCACGACAGAATTTCTAATTTCTGTTATGACAACTGGAATGGTACTCAAAGTTTGGCAGAGGCAGGATGGAAGGTTGGTGAACCAGAGTTACAGATTAAAGATTTACTGATGGCTAATGGTTGCTGGAATGGGAGAAGGCTTAGGGAGATATTAGATGAAAGACAAGCTATGGCCATTGAAAGTTCGCCCATCAAAATTTCTGGACAGCGTGATCAATTCGTTTGGAAGCCTAGCAAGGATGGAGGGACATCCCATCTCTTGGTTGAAAATCGTTTGGCGGACAAAATCTGTTCTCTCCCAGACTGCTGGACTAATCTCCACGAGTAGTTATATCTCTGGCCGTGATGTTGGCTGTCTGAAATCCTTAAACTGTCCAATAATTTACGCCAAGCAGAAACAGGTTCAATTGATTAACTGGAAGAAACCGACAGGGAAGCAGCTGAAATTGAACGTTGATGGAGCAGCTAAAGGAAACCCAGGTGAAGCAGGTGGAGGAGGAATTTTGCGTGACGGCAACGGTAGTTTTCGGGCTGGTTTCTCACGCTAT